TTAATAGAAAAGAGGGGCCAGCGATGTAACGAGCATATAGAAATCTCGTATCTCTAGCTGCTTAACTTGAATAACTTCCGAAATACCGGCTTTTTCCGTATCCTCTTTCCTCGAAAGTCTATCAGCTGTACCAATCGAATCTAACCTCTGTCATATTCCAAATAAGTTGCGGTCACGTGACGAGATACACTGAAGTCACGTGACGAGATGTGAGATAAACCGTGTTCAGCCCGTTCAGCAGACACGATTTTCATCACTAAGCGCTACGTATCATTCGCTCAACCGCTTTGCAACTGTTGGGATCTGCTGAACGCGCCCATTGATTGGCTGTCGCGCGGACTTCCGCCGCGCGGCAAGCATTACCGCGTCCTGTGTGCAGGAGTCATTAGAAGTTCCCTAATAGCATAGATGTCCAGGGGACATCTAGAGGACATCCTGAGGACATTCTTCGTTCTCAGGACGTCCTCAGGAGATCTTGTGCTGTCTGGGTTCTCTAGCGGAGATTGTGATGCAGGATTCACACCGCGTCTGATGCCCGACGTATGACGTCCGATATCTAATAAAAGAATAGCTTTCCAATGGAGAATTGAATTCTATATTAGAAAGCCGTTCTCCTATTTAATATCGGATGTCGTACATCGGACATCGGACGCGATGTGAATCCTGCATAACACGCGTCATATACACAGGACCGCTGTCATTTTCTCGCATACAACCGAAAATCTCAGGCGACGCAGGTTCAAAGCTTTGGTTAACAATCTAGTATAGACATCTGGTGTCTGAGTTTCTTCATCGCCTTTGCCAGCTACACCACAGCGCAGCGAGCAGCTGGTAGTTGCAATATGTCTGTTATAAACAAGATTCATCATTACCAGCGAAATATAGAGAAATGCGGTGACAATTTGGATCGAGTATGTATTGTTTAACAATATATAAATAAGTGTTTGCGTCCGGTAATTCTTGTAAATCGATAATTTGTAGACGACATTGTAACCTCTACGTCTCGTAGCTTCGGATTATTTGAACGTGTCGATATCGCTTTCACAAAAATTTACTTTCACCAAAATTAATTTTTACGTATGATTCATTCTAGATACTTCATTGCATTACAAAGTTGTACAATCTACCAGTAACAGTACAGCACCTTCAAGAGACTGGTGTAGGAAGGACTGTGAATAGTTTAAGAAAATACGATGGTGCAGTAGGTGATGCTGCTAAAGTTCTGGTAGCAAAATGGAAGGCAATGGTAGTAGATGAATATTCCAGTGGAGATGATGAAGATGAAGTTGGCGCAACAGCTGAAAGTTGTGGCGATAATCATAATTCATATAAATCAGAAGAAGCTGAAGATAATGTTCTCGACCAAGAACAGAAATTGAAACATGCACATGAAGAAAGCAAGGATGATATGTCTGCGGAACATAGTGTAAAACATTTGTCTAAATCAAAAGAACAAAACCCAAAGGATACAGAGGACAAGCACAGAAGACACGAGAAAAATAGTCATCTTTACAAGCATTCACAAAATGAGGTAAAGTCTAAGGAATCAAGGAGTAGTAAGAGCAGTTCAAGAAAGGATGAAACTCACAAGTCCAGAGAGCATAATCACAGCAAGAATGATAACTTAGAAAAAGCGAGTGATAGATTGATGAAAAATGATGAGAACTCTACTGATAAAAGAATCTTTGACTCAAGTTCCTTGAAAAAAGAAAATAAAAGGAGTAAATTGTCAGATAACAGAAATAATGATGAAACTCCACAAGTATTAAATTCAGAAAAGAACCATTCTTCCTCAAGATCTTCTGAAATTAAGATAAAAGTAGAGGATGATAAGGATAAATCAAATGTTAAACAGGATAAAAGAAGCTCACAAGAGGAATCAAGGAGCAGTTCTAGTAAGCTCAAGTCCCAAAATTCAAGTAGTAAAACAAAAGACAACAGTGAAAGACATAAACATAAAAAGGAACATGCAGACCATAAGAAATTAAACACAAAGAAGGATTCCAATCATCACTCTAGCAAAGAAATATCTGAATCAAGAATTTCTTCTAGTAGTAATGATCACATTAAGAGTCAGGACAAAGATAAGAAACGAGAACACAAAGAGGACAGAAGTAGCCATGGGAAGAAGAAAGAAATAAAAATGCGGCTATCTCAGGAAATGACCAGTAATGAAGGAATAGATTGCAATTCGGGTTAGTGTAGCATGCTGAGTGTGTTGAAAACATTGTATAACATATTTAATACTATTATTATAATATTAATTCACTTGTCAGTTTTATTATGTCATGAAAATTAAAATCTATTTTTTATAATATTTTACAATCCACATTCTGATAAATAAATTTTTTTATCCTTAAATGTCTGCAGAGTTTGACTTTATATAATATTAATATCATTAAACATGTATAAATAAAATTGCTTTTCGGTCAGTTAAATACAAGAAATAAATACATCAATAAAAATTCCTAAATAATATGATATTAAAACACATACAAAGCATTGCTGATATTGCTTTTCTTCTTAGGTGCAAGCTTTGCAGAGGCACTAGGTATGTGCACTATGCCTCAGCCATCAAGGAAACGTAATCATAATTCTAATTCTTCACGTAAGGCAACCAAAACCGAAGTAATGTCACCTCCGAGTAAGAAAAAGATGCTAACGGTGAAAATCGAACCAGACTGCAACGATGAACCAAGTGTAATTTGCATTCTATTGTTTAATATTTCTTGACTTGAAAAATATCTCTAACGACTAAAATTATTTGAGAATTATTTTATGAAATACGTAATAATAAAAAGAGCTTGCAATTTCTCACAGCCACCATCTCTCTTGGCGTCGAATATAAAGCTGGAACCACTTAATGTAGACTTAGCATCCACGTTACCCGAAATCAGTCCTAATTACAAGCCACTACCACACATCAACCCTGTTCAGCGCAAAGAAGAAGCCAAATTTGTCGACGACATCATTCTCGTCAAGAACCAAAGGTAAGTTTCTTAAAGCAGCATATATCAACAGGACTTGGACCTTTTATGCTATTGTTTACCTCATGACATGAATTTTTACTCGCAGGACAAAAGTGTATTCTGGTAACAAGGTCGGTTACACGAGCGTGCCGTCGTTATGTGAATTGAGTATGAGAGTGTTGATCGAAAATATTGATGGTAAATATCTTTTTGTCATAATAACATATTAACGTATCGAGATTCTGCACAAATATTTTTATTGCCACTAGCTCTCGAGTTTACCGGTGGTGTGCCGTACGACATAATAAAGCCGGTCCTGGAACGCGCCACTCCCGACCAGTTGTTCACGTTGGAACACTACAATCCGTATCTCATAGAGGACACGGGCACGCTGTGGCAGTTCCACTGTAATCGAGAGTTTAGAAATAAAGAAAGACAGGAAATGGAGTCGTGGCGTGAGATGTATATGGTGAGTAAATTGGGAACTGTATGATTATATTAAAAGCCAGAATATAAAATCAATGTAATAAAATGGAAAAGATACACTCATGATACTCAACCTGATATGCAATTTGAGTTATTCTTATACTAGTCAGCGTCACTGTTATACTGTGTGTTGTATAGCGCTGCTTGGATGAGAGAGAGGCGAAACTGAAGACACTGACTGCTAACATCAAGCAATCCATCGACAAGTCCGTTCCAGTGAGATCTGCCAAACTCGCATACGTAGACAATGTCGTGAAGCCGCCACGGAATGTGTTGAAGAAGCAGGCGAAATATGGTACGGCTAATGATACACCTGCCACAGTGTCAAGCATAAAGAAAAAGTTAGCCAGCGGTGGTGGGGCTAATAACGCGACAAATATCGTCGTACCGTCACCGGCGATATCACGGTTTAAAATGTCGAGTAAGTACTTCGCATTTATTCGGAGACATAATTTTATTCTTATGCGATCTCTCTCTCTCCCTCTCTAATTGATATATAATTATTCCTTTCAGCATCAAACAGCGTGAAGAAGACTAAAGCACCGCTTATGGCGAAGGCATTACAGTTAGTAAAGGGACGTTACAAACGGTAGTTATACGAGTGTTGCATGTTATCGATCGTATATTCAATTTCAGTAAATAATTAGTATATACATACATACATACATACATTCATTCATTCATTCATTCATTCATTCATTCATTTATTCATTTATTCATTCATTCATTTCAGAATTATATCAATTGTTCCATTACGATTTCGACGCGATCACCAATTCATTTGCATGCATTTTGCATAATATTATTCTTTCCTCCTATTTTATTTTGATCGTATAACAAATATTAATTGTGTTCAATGAAATCATATATGACAACTTCCGATAATTGTGTATAATGAATCGATTGTGCAGAGAAACTTATTGTGTCTATTGAGATTTCTAAAAAAAATTTCTAGTATTCATGACAAAACTTCTTTTTTAGTAAGAATATAAATTATATTGTATGCTCAGTTCAAAAAGTTTTAATACTAAATTCCATATGTAAAAGAGCGTTTTATATTCGTATATTTTAGACTCGCGAAACCTTCTATCAACACATTGAATGCCACGTTAAGGATGCGAGTGAGAATTTCGAAAAAACAGTTCGCAGATTGAAATTTTTTAGTCGTAATCTTATATAAATAGATTGCTTAATATGTATGGTCAATTGTACTCGATTAAACCATATATGTAATAGATTGTTGCTAATTGAATAAATAAATATGTCATTCGTAAGGCATGTCGCATGCAAATTTAGGTGTCACTCAAATATGGCATTCAGCATGTTAAGAAGGTTATAATTTAAAATTTCTACATATACATAAATCATTAAGCGTCCTTAATAAGGAGCCACGCGCTGGTCAAATTTGTGACGTCAGAAGCGAGGAATGACATTTATTAATAAAAATTACGTGTTATTTCTGAAATTATATAATAAATGGTGTAATGAGACATATGAAATGATGAAATGAGTCTATGCCTCATTTCACTATTCGTACATTGATTATTTATTAAGAAAAAGTGGTACATTTTGGATAATTTTACAAATATGTTCAAACAATTTCAAGTGCTCTTTCTTGCATATTTATCTTTATTAAGAAATAACACACAACATTCGTCAGTGTGTCGTTCCTCGCTTATGACATCACAAATTCAACATGGCCGCCGCGAAGTACAAGAAATTTAAGTCCATAGATTCTCGGGTACATGCTCTTGAATTTTAACGATTAGATTTTGATTGTACATTTTTGGGACTGTTTTACCAACATTGTTACGAGTCAAATACCGATACAGAATAAACACAGAAATATAATTCTGTGCTTTAGACGTTGCTGTGATTTTTTCAATGTTTTTTTAGATGCAGTTTTAATGCGTACACTTTGTAAATATTATGTTGTGAGACATAGTGGATAGATAATTAATCGATCTATTCTCACTTAGAACATGCGATCGAGTATAACGTAAAAGATTCTTAGCATTATAATCGATACTTACTAAAAAAAAACATCTAATTAAAGAACAAATATAGAGGAAATCTCGTTTATCTATGTCATTTGTTATAAATAATTCAATTAGCATCAAATATGTAAAAATATATCAGCTCAAGTAAAAACTTTTTTCCTCTTTATTAACGTGTTAAATTAGAAAATTATTACATATGTGTTTTTATATAATTATTATATATATAATTACCAGTAAAAACGAGATATCCTATATTTGTAAAATTCATAATTTATCAGATCAAACGACAGAATTCTACGTTATCTAATGAATATTATCATCACATGTTTTGCGCTGAATATAATTGTGTAGTATCAGGAACATGTGTGATATGAAATAAAAGTTGGGCACTGTATTGTTTTACGTGCCAGCTGAGAAATATTAAATTATCTCAAAGCATAAATAAATATATATATGTATATTTATATAATATATAAAACCTATTATATATTTAAAATATATTATTATTATTTTTGGCAAATATTTATGCGAAATTTTATAATTTGGTCAAATTACAAATATATTTTAATTATACGTTTGCATTATACAATTATGCGTCACACTGAGTCATTTTGCGTAAGAAAAAGATTTTTGTTACAAACCGAAAAAAAATATTAATATAAGTAAAGCTTTGTAAATTTGTTTCTTAACATATTGAGCATCACGCTGAATTTGAATCTCAGCAGAGTCAAGTTTTATAGTTGTCACACGCGATTGTATACAGAATCAAATTACTTAATACATTGTCATTCGTATGAGTTGACTTAAATATTTAGTAAAATAATTCCTAATTGGATAAATGAAATCATTACTCGCAAATAGGTAATGAGGCTCTTGCAGAAAATCAAACGTTACCTAAGTATGGATGATATGGCACTTAAGATGATAATGAAGGAACATTCAGTGCCCTGAATTATTTTAAATTCTAGCAAACAACACCAATCAACATTGCATGTAAATTATATAATAAAAATATAAGCTTTTTGTAAAGTATTTTTATACAACCCATATTTTAACCATTAATTGATATTGTACAGTAAAATAATATAAAAAAGATGTTAAATTACAAATATTTATTTAAACAACGAACACATTTATTAAAAAGGTATAATCGCGTACAATACTTATCATATCAATTTTTGTGTTATAATATCCGTAAAATTATTTCTAACCCCGTAGACCAATTCAAATTATTAATATTTAGATAATTTATTTTCGATTAATACCTATTATACAAATTAATACAATAAAGAACATCAAGTAATATATTATTATAAGTTTAATAGCTCATAGTAATATCAGTATCCAAAACAATATATCCTAATTAAAACGACGTATAAAGATACGCGATATTGATTAGATTAGGTTAAATAAGACTAATGTGGACGTAATAATAAAATCTTCTATTTTCAAACGAGTCTCATTTATGGCCAGAAGATATTCGCTATTTTCGGAAGAGTGAGAGCGATAACGACGGTGGAGAGGAGATTCACACTGTGATTATCCAGAATCTGTTTACCGCTAATGTGTTTTACACCTTTCGCTGGTCGCTCCACTATCAGACCGTCCTCATTCACACCTAAAATTATAATTATCGTTTATACGCGACAATTCGTCATTATGAAGTATACGAGAAGCTTGTTCAATCTCTGAACTTAGACATTGCAAGATGAATCCAATGCGTGTGAAAGTACATGTGAATTACCAGAGTACTGTAGAGTCGCGCCGAAAATAGAATCCAATATGCTACCGAAGAAACCAGCCAAACCCCCGAGTACAATAATGGGCCACTGCGGTGCTGCTAGTTGTAACACGGCTGTATCAACAGTGTTTAATATCGTAATATAATAAAGAAGACCAATTATTAAGCCGCCCAGAAAGGAACACAAGAGACCTACCCACGATACACCGCCGTTTGTGCCTTAAATAACAACATTAAATCGAGATAAAATTCATCCGCGTTTATTGAAGTTAAGGCCCATATTCTGCACTCTCTTTTATTGTTAAAAACACTAGAAGTGGTTTTTATAAATGGCCTTCTAATTGACTATAAATCATTTTTAAAGACTTCAACGATAAAACAGAGTTCGGAGTATGGACTTAAAGTTCCAGTGTCTTCGCCGCGGCCAGGAGACTTGACGTTGGAACTTCTCACCTCTTGGCACCCTTTTTCTTGTAGTAATAAGAAAAGGATCGGCCGTGCCAATCACCGTACCGAATTCTGAAGCCCATGTGTCGCCATTACAACACGCGAATGATCCTGTAAAATAAACCGTGAAATTGAATTCCATATTGCATTTTTTCCGATTTAATTGATTATACCAATATTATTATTATATGTTCAAATGTTGGATACTAAATAATACATGATACATTATAGTTATAGAGGTGATATTTTTTGCAAGCAACAAAAAAGAGGACTATGCACTGTTTGACTCACTGAGAAAAATATAAAATACGTGAGTCACAAATTAAATCAAGAGGCACCGAATGAATTGATTAACGAGAAAAACAATATCAAAATTTTTATCACACTGAGAACAGCGTGATAAGTTTCAAATTTTAATCGACCCCTGTTTTATATTTGAGATTAAGCGGTAACTGTCTAACCTAATATGCCAATAGACAGCCATGAGCTTCGGTAATCCTTATCGAAATCGATGGGTCGTTCGCCACATCCGACATCCAACAGATACAACACTGCCAATTGTGCAGCCATTCCTCCATTACATAGCACTTGTACCCAGTTACGTTGACCACCCTCCTTATGTTCAGCTTCGATTTTTTTCTTCTGTGCCGATCGAAATTTCGTAGCTTTGGACGCAGTGACGAAAAACGTCATGAGGCACATTAAATGAGCGTAATTCGAGAGCGTTAATATAAAACCCAGAAGCAAGCCTATGTAAAAAAGATATTTCGTGAAAAATTTCTATAACTTTAATATACAGGGTGTTCAGCACCCTTTAATGGTCCGCGCGATTTTTAAACGCTTCCAACTTTCAAGACTATTTCATTACCAAACATTGCACCACTGATGTTCACAGATTTTTTGCGGAGGCCCCAAAACGCGAACAAAAACGGTATTACAACCGCGGCCAACCATCTCCACGGTGAAATCACTGGATAACCTAAGATAGAACAAAAAAATTTATTGAATATCAGAAATGTAAGTGGAAAACTTCAACTTAAGTAAAACTGTAAATTTAACAAATACTAAACTTGAATTCATGGCGAGATAAAAATATAGCTGTGGGATACCGAAGTTAATGTTTAATCGCGTCTTTTACAGCAGACTATCAATTTTTTGTGGAGTCACCCAGATTAGAGTCCCTATAAGATAGAATTCGGCCACTCGAATAGTTTTGGAAAAACGCGGCGGTCGTGTATATATGAACGCAGCTGATATTTATTGTGTTACCTTATAACGCGATAAATATTAATGTCAGTTTGACTATAAATTATAAAAGTAAAATTAGAATGTAGAATTAGAAAGTAAAATTATAATATAATTATTATACTATAGTAATTATAATATAATTATTATAAAATAGTATTATACTATAGTACAGTATTATAGTATAATACCATAGTATAGTACTACATTATAGTACAGTATAAGAAAATTAGGAACAATTAATAGTCTTTTATATTAAACTGTGAAATAAATAAATAAAAACATAATTTTGATTGTAAACTTGAAACATTATTAATCTGCAGGAAGCGAATACAGTGAAAAACCTTTCTGATAATATTCTTGCATCGTAGAACACAACACGTTGGCATTTTGAAATCTGAAAATTCATATTTCGTATTGCATTATTTTACACAATTGCCTTTTCAGATACTGTTTTGAATAAAATGAAGTTACGACAATTATATAATAAATATAATGACAATTTATATAATGACAATTCCCGGCCAGAAATGATTCGTCAATCGATGTCGAAACGATGTCGAATCGACGTCGATTCACGATTTCGATTCGACATCGATCAACGAATCATTTCTGGCTGGATTTATATAATGAATACGACTTTTTTATAATATCACAATTTTTAACTGACTTAAGTTTTTTATTTTACTTTAGAAACCACATACAGAATAATTATATTTATAATATTGTACTATAGTATAGTATTATATTATACTATGATATAGTATTATAAATATAATTATTCTGTATGTGGTTTCCAAAGTAAAATAAAAAAAGTTGTCAGTCAAAATTTGTGATATTATAAAAAAGTCATATTCATAAACATATAAAATAAAATGTATTGATCTGGACCAGAGTCCATATAAGATAGAGTCTGGCCACGTGCGCGTTTCTCCTTATTGGTCGAAACAAGGTTTGGAAAAACCTTAGAAATGCGAAACCAATAGAAATTGTCATGAAAAGTGGGATAATTTGAAAAGTAAAATAAAAAAATTAGGAACAATTAGTAGTCTTTTATGTTAAACTGTGAAATAAATAAATAAAAACATAATTTTGATTATATAATGAATATAATGACAATTTATATTTATATTTATTTATATTTAATGACAATTCCCAGCCAGAAATGATTCGTCAATCGATGTCGAAACAATGTCGAATCGACGTCGATTTCACGATTTCGATGTCGATTCGACTTCGATCAACGAATCATTTTTGGCCGGGAATTGTCATTATATAAATTGTCATTATATTCATTATATAATTATCGTAACTTCATTTTATTCAAAACTGTATCTGAAAAAACAAATATGTAAAATAATGCAATACGAAATATGAATTTTCAGATTTCAAAATGCCAACGTGTTGTGTTCTACGATGCAAGAACTATTATCAGAAAGGTTTTTCACTGTATTCGCTTCCTGCAGATTAATAATGTTTCAAGTTTACAATCAAAATTATGTTTTTATTTATTTATTTTAGTTTAACATAAAAAACTACTAATTGTTCCTAATTTTCTTATTTTATTTTTCAAATTATCCCGCTTTCCATGACAATTTCTATTGGTTTCGCATTTCTATCGTTTATCTAAGCCTTGTTTCGACCAATAAGGAGAAACGCGCACGTGGCCAGACTCTATCTTATATGGACTTTAGCCCAGATCAACACATTTTTTTTTATATGTTTATGAAATCGCCTGTTTACACAATAAGCTAACGAATTATTTATTTAAACGCTCGCGATCATTTTACTAATTACGCACTGTCTGACATCTATCGGCATATCTTTGAATAATAGACTAACTTGCCGACTAGAATGTACATAAATTTACATAAATCGAACATTTACATAAATCAAAATCTGATTAGATTAGAATTGATTATTTTAATTGCATCGGTAGTTTTATTTTAAACACGTACATGTGACGTTAAACATGACTATGCAATTCTAAGTTGCACTTTCTTCAATACGTATTTGTATGTGTCGTTATTCAACTCTTTTTATTATACACTACCTGCGATAAGTAGCGACATCGATACTATCGTTAAAAATAACGATGTACAACAACGATATAAAACAGAGTATTGCACGTGCTTTGTCGGATAAATTTTATGTAGCAATTTAAAAAATAACTCTATACTTGTCAGTCATCACTAAGTCAATGTTTAATGATTATTACCTCCAATTGACATATTCTATCTAAATTCTGAAATCACCAATCATATGCGGTAATAATCGCTATAAATAATTGATCACTTATTAAACGTTGACTTCTGCGGCCAACGTCCGAGAGGATACTTTTTAGGTCCCTTATTAAACTAGTCCTGAGATGACTTTTCCTAAGATCTCCCAAACTACAATTCCTAATTTCTAATTCCATCATCTAGCGTACATCATAGCAAGTTTATTGGTGAAAGGACCACAGAATAAGGGCTGCAACCAATGAGAGAGAAAGAGAGAGAGAGGGAGAGATATTTTCTAAGTTATAAAGCCGCATTTATATATGACTGCCTCTGCACTCCAAAATATTCCAAAATATTCCAAAGCAGCGTAATAATATAAGCTCAACCAGATCGTTTTTTACATCGTCGAAAGCATATTTACATATACACGTAAAAGATTCACGTTCGATCTCAGTGAGTGCGTTCTCTCTCTGGGAAAGAAAGTTCTAACCTAACAAAATTACTTCAATAAATGTTAGGCTATATTTTATAGCGTATATACAACACCTTCTGTAGAATTCAAAGATTCTGGCGACAATATTGAATAAACTACGTTCACTATCCAGAAAAGCATTGAGACTGGAATAGCACAGGCACAAATAAACACCGGCATAAACATGTAAGAGCCACGTTCCTCACGAGATCCGAAGGAAACCATGACGGAGTTGTAAACTCGAATGCATACAAAAAGTGAAGGATCGAAGCTGGAAATTAAAAAACAATGTGACTTTAAGTATGCATTCAGTTAAGATATGTGACATATACACGACGCAAAAGCGCGCGAACAACTAAATCATGAAATAACGTTCAGCGGAGAAAACCGTTTCGCTACTGGGCCACGTTCTAATTCTGCAACCGGGTGGGAAAGTGCTACAGAATATGTGACATATATTATAGACCAGTTTATTCATAGGCTTGGTTTACATCGTCAAAACGTTAAGGTGCCATTACATGTAAACGTTCGAGCGTTCGAGCGTCAAACCCGTGCGCAGTATCTTTGCGCATAAATCTACACCGTTCAGATTTCAGCGTCTTGATGCTATTAGAGCAATGTTGTATAATAGAATCCGTGTATTTTAGGTTGCGTTCCATTTCACGCATTATGCGCGCATTGCCTACAATATATGTAACATGAACTATAGATAAATGCGCGCATATGCGTGAAACGGAACGCAGCCTTACTTTTTGCGAATATTTGTCACACCCAAAATCTTTTTTTGTTTTGCTCATATTACATTTGCAATTAGTGATATTAATGCAATTAACTCCATGTTTTGTTTGTAATATTTGTTATTGATAATGTATTGCATTTTAATAACCACAAATGATGCCGATAATTAATAGACATTTTGTAATATTTTGCAGTTTTTTTTTAATTGCTAATAAATATCTCGAAATTCAACTAACAATTTAGTATGTAATCAAATTAATCTTGCGTTTCAGCAACAACTCACTATATATTACTATGCATGTGCTCAACACTTGACACTTGACGCTCGACGCTCCTATGTAAAGGCACCTTTAGTACGCGTATTAAATTTGATGCGTACCAATGGTTGCGTTCAGCAGAGAAAGCTGCTTTGCAACTGTTGTAAAATTCGTGAATCTGATTGGAGTATGCTCTTAATTTTGGTTAAATCCAAAAGCATGTACCAATCAGATTTACGAATTTTACAACAGTTGTAAAGCAGCTTACTCTGCTGATTGCAGCCATTGCTTTAATACGGGTACGTTTATATCGAACGTACTAAAGGAAAAATATAATACGAATTTAATTTATGTCATTTACTTCCTAGTGGTGGTATTTGGAATTGCAATTTGCTTGAGATAGCTTCGACCGACAGGAGGAATGCATAATTCTAAAAATGTGCTCGTTTATGTATGTATTGTACTCTGCAAAAATAAGCAGCAGACCAAGTCGAGTGATTATTTTAACAAGATATTCATATTACTCGACTTGGTCTACTGGTTATTTTTGTTGAGCGCAATAACATAGAGACACAGGAATTTATTTTTATATTTTCAACTTGAATGTAAGTTAAAAAAGCTATAAAAAAGCTATAAACCATAATATCTTTAATGTCAATAATTTTAGAGCTATAAATTTGCCGTTGCTATATTTTTTTGACAAGATACTCATATCACTTGACTTGGTCTGCTGCTTATTTTTGCTGAGCGCAATAACATAATTCCCCATCTACACAAATAATAGCATTATTTATATATTCATTTAATATTGATGGCAAATTTATAATTCTACAATTATTAACATTAAAGAAATTATAGTTTATAACTTTTTCAGCTTACACTCTTAAAAATATTTTTCACTTAAATTTATTATTATTAGATCAATGCTTTTTTTTAATACACTGTTTCACAATCACAATTACAATAATTATTTGTTTCTTTCAATTATATGTCAAATCACTACTTTTTGACACCATATATATGCCATCCTTTTGCTTTCGTAATAAGTGGCGTGTCAAGTAGTGGTTGTCTCTCTCCTGAAGTTGGGACGCGTTCCGAAATCAACTAAAAATCGGTGCACAAACCTTTCAGATCACGAGTGTATGTACAATATATTTTATTTTCCCATTGGCGGATACGATCCATCTGACGCATGCGCATAACGTTCATAAACACTCAGAAAGAAAGAGAAATATATATTCCTGCACCGTGGTTTTGGGGCCGGACTTTTCTCTCATTTAACAATATAGTAGTATTAAGTTGGTGGCACATAGAAAAACTTAAGCAGTAAGATGTAAGCAGTAAGCGAATTAGCCAATCACAGTCGTTGATTCTTGAACCGTAAGAAGAATTAACAACTGTGATTGGTCAATTTGCTTACTGCTTACGTCTTACTGTTTAAATTTTTCTGTGTGCTACGGCCCTTACATATAAGCAATATAGGGTACTGTTGCTGGGCTCCATTATATTACTGCAAAAATTTTTTTTAATGTAAATAAAATATAATGTACAGACGTTTATAAGGCGGTATCTTCGCGGTTATATCATGTTATTGTAACACACCTAGTTGTAAATCTAAAGAGTGAAAAATACAAAAAAGTTGTATTGATGGCGTGTTTACCAAACCCATGTATTATACTTACATATTAACATAATAATAATGATATTATTATTACAAATTACTGAATCGGACTACAGATTGCTTATTAAGGTAATTTTTGATAAGTGCCGTTGTGTTTGCACAGCTTTTTTTTCTACTATGTATTATATCTGTACGAGGACAACAATAAGGACATTGTTATAAAAAGTTACAAAATCAGCCTATAAATTGAGATAGAATTATTCCAATCTGGCAATTTATTCTCCCGGATCTATGACTGAAATTCACATAATCGGATCTTATATTTAAGATAGTCTTAATTTTATTTTTAGATGCTCGCCAGACAATAAAATGACCCATATAGCGTCTATACTTTCTACTTTGTCATTTTTCTCTTTATCTCCAAAAAAGAAAATGCTCATATAAAGGAAATTTCGGGAGCCAATAGTCTCAGATCATTCCTCTACTCAAATCTTTTGAAGTGAACCAGATCAACTATTTCTGTGGTATATTGGTCTCGTAAAATAAAATGCAAAGGAAATCCGTATACAATCGCGATTTATTATTTCATTACAAACATCTCTTCTTTTATTGTTCCTGCTTTATAACATAAAACAATAAGATGAACTCTTAGCGTAATTCTGCTTGTCATGTTACGTGCACTCAATTTTATTATGCTTTGTTTTATTTTATACAATGATAAGACACAAGGGTCTACGATGAAAATGGTGCAAGTCTAATGATAACGCTAAGAGGATTAAACTGATATATATACAAAATGAAAATTTAATTAAATAGGATAACAATAAATGAAATATTGTATAAGGTTTGAGTAGTCAGTGTGTGTGTGACTGCAGTCTGCCCCATATATTATATGTACAAAGAATGAGTATAATTCATTATTAATAATTATTATGTAACGACGTTCGTTGCGTTATATTGTTGCTATGTTGTCATATTAATTAATGTAAATAATTATAATAAATTACATATCTTTATAGTAAATTGCGCAGCGCGCAAAAAAGCGGTACCTATATATCAGAGCTGTCTAAATTAGCTGGTCACAAACGACAATTTTGCTCAATTTTTCCTTCTTTCTCACTTCTATTTAACCCTCTTAACTATCAAAGAAAAGACAATAACAGAGCAAAATAGTTGCGAATGCTTAATTAGACAGCCCTAAAATATGTTATGAGCGATTCTCAATGGCTGTATGTGTGTATGTGTGATTCTAAATATATATATATTTATATATATATTTAATATATATTCCTAGAAAAATACTTCTATTATATGTTCACGTATCAACAATAATAAGTATTAACAATAGCTCTCAGACAAATATGTGGTTGAGCGCAGTATTTAAATTAGAAAACATTTGTAGATATTTTTATCCAATTTATACTGACTCCTACTGCAATAAAATTTTGTATAGCAACAAACCTTTGTGCAATGTAATAATCATTAATACTCAAATAATGAAATATAAACAATGTTATATTAAGTTTTTTTTACAATTGGAATCCAAAAGTTTACTTTTGAAACACTGAAGAAAACATTACCTCATAAGATGGACATACGTTTTATGAGGATTAATAACAACTAGAAATTACTAATTATTCGATGAGATAATTAAGTCTTATCAAATATATATTATCAAAAGGTGATGTTTGGAAGATAAATTATTTAAGTAAATTGATAATATAACGCGGAAAAGATAACACGGGATAAATAACTGTAGCGCGGCGCTTAATGATAATTTTTACAGTAAACGCGTTTAATACAACCAAAAATAAGTGTGATATCTAAATCGATGATGTTTTAACGCAACGTGAATCCCGTGAACTTCTCCGATCAGAAATGTTACGGACAATCGATAAAATCACCTTATCAAATTGTACGAATTTCCCGATTCGTCCGTGTTACCCGTGTACAATATTTTAATTTTTGTGAACGTCTTGTAAAACGCAAATTCAGTATGTATTCACATTCTGCGTTGCGGTCCATACATCAGTAAATCTCTAAATCGTTTTTCTATTGATATCTCTAAATATATTCTATAATTGAAAAAAAAAAAATAAACTTACATTATATACAAAAGTATCATGAAGATTCATGAGTGTTAAAGGTGGCTGCTTATTTTTACAATAGTCTCGTGATGTTCACTCTGAAGGGCAACGAATGCAGTTTCCTGAATGCTTATTCAAAGCTATCTGAAAGACTTGTCCTTACGAATCACATTAGCAATACGAAAACATTCAAGTTTTCCGGGTAAAAATGGGGAAACATCGTGAGTGATATAATACGAAAAGGGTTATTGTAAAACAAAGTCCTTACGTTAGCGGACTAAACCAAATCCTTTGTACTTGTCAGAACTCGTTTAAATTAACGAGTTTAAGCATATGGGATGTGTTATTTCACAATCTTTCTCTCTCTTTGAGCAGTATTTAAAGGAGTATTAGACTTAAATGCGACTGAAATTTTACTATAAATTATATATATATGTATAGTGAAATATACAAATTTTTTTCTTATTTTTTAGTTAAAATTCTTAGCGAAATGTTATTCTGCACTATTTTTATTATTATTATCTACGTAAATACCCTTCATACTATTAAGATATATGTATGTAGAGTATTCACAGCAATCTCGACGGAAAATTGTGAGAGAGTAAAAGATTGACAAATCCAAAGGACAAAGTGATTTTTATGCGCTTAATGCACTATGATGGCGGTTATAATAGACTCCAGTTGATACTGCCTAAGAACCATGTAATTGCGTGTAATGATTTTGGATGATGATGGGAAATGAGAATGATAGATTTTACTACAATTCTTACGAGTAAGTGGGTTCTTCGAACAATTCAAAGGATGTTTCTGGAACTATATCTTCGGAGTTTGCAGGCTCCGCAAATCCGCGTGCTACTAATTCATCAGCGAGGGAAATTACCTAAACATCAAATCAGAGGATTAATTTCATTCGAATGAGAAAAGGAAAAACGTGCGAAAAGAAGTTTTTTACGTACCCCATATTTCGGTATATTATAATAAATATTTGTATAAACATTCGTATCAATATAACCTTCAACCTGGGCTTGACCAACAACTCCGAAACAAACGCGAGCTACTACATCGTAAGCATTGTTTAACCACGCGCCTAAAATACAATAATCCGTTATTATGCACCCGAGAATGAACGAGTGAATAAAGGTGTATACGTCATCAACATATAGTTACCATCCTTCGGCCGAATATTTGCTAAAAAGATTTCGGTCGCTTGGAAGGGCAGATTCAAGAATTCTGGCCTAATATCTCTTATCTGCAAGCTGCTAAACTCATAGTAACCGCCGTGATCAAGCAGTCGCATTAAGTGCCTCTCTCCCAATGGGTCTGGTTTCTCCATGCATACTCTAACCCATACGTCGAACCAATTTGCAACGTAAACTATGCCACCTGAAAGAAAGAAATACGTAAAATATGTTAAATACGTAAAATAAATTACGTAAAATACGTAAAATATGTTAGAATATAAAGATATTTCGTAAGATTTTCTGGTGCTTAAGAATGCACCAAAATATTACATCACTTACTCGTTAGCACACTCGGTATCGACGATTCCGTGGCGTTGTATGCGCACGTCATCTCCAAGTCTAAAACTCGCAAGGAGGGGAACGTCGGATGTGTCGGAAATTGAATGAAGAGCCAGTTCGGCTTGACGATGTGCGATACGATGATATCGTTATTGACACCTTCGACTAAGAACAACTGTGACAATTGCGCTACCCATGTCGCCTCCACAGTCATCTCGGGCGTTGGGATCTCGGCTAATGTCACCTCCGGGAATCTCTTCTCCGGGAATTTCTTCCTTATCAAGTCGAGGGCGGTGTTAATGCCTTCCGCGTTGCCTTCTATCGAGCAAATTTTTTGGTCGCTGGCCCCCGGGTGATCATTCACGTATATCTGAACTTCCGTCTTCGTACGGATGTTATGCAAAAAGCTACCGTGACGGCCGATCAGCCTGCCCACCAGTTGTTGCGGTATAGCGAAGTAGTAAGTAGTCTGCTCGACCGCATTGGCTTTCCTGCATCCGTTAATACTTCCACCTGAGTAATAAAATCAAAAATTCGTCTTAACGAAATCAACATTCCAACAAAGCTGACGAAGCTTCTTAGAAAACGACATCTTTACGACTCAGTTAAGCAGCATTAATGGACACTCACCTTTTCCGCTGTCCGTGCTTCCTTCTTCGCTCCTAGCTTCATCTATAATACTGCCTTCCAGGACTCCGGAAGTCGGACTGTGATTCGCAGAGTCCCTTTCGTAGGTCGCTTGTTCCGCGGTCTCGGTGTTATCTTCGAGATGTTCCTCCGCTAGCTGCTTGTTCGTTTCGCAGTTGAATTCGGCCGCGGTATCATTCTGCTCCGGTGACCCCATTTCGCTTTGCACGCTGCACTGTCCCTCTTCGGTGGCATCTTCGAATACCTCTGTGATGTTATCGTCGAGCTTCATGTCGAAGGAGGACGTATTTCGTTTCATGGCAATTGTCTCAAAGTAACTCGTGGTCGGATTGCTGCTTAGCTGTATATCCGTCGTTGATTCAACTTCCGTAAAGATCTGGCTGCTGTCGCAGGACTGCGGTACTGACTTCCTGTTTGGGATGTCCATACTCTCGCTGACCTTCCTTGGGACGCGAGTCGGCTCTTCCTGTTGCGTACAGCTGCTCGTCGAGAAGGACTTGCTTATCTTCTCGTCAGTGGGGTCATATAAGTTCGAAATGGCCTCCTTCACGTAGCTCGTCTTCACGTTGTCCTGGGAATTTGATTCCACGATTCCACCTGGGTCAGCTCTGTCTATTCGACGACGTTTGTACCAAAAAAGACCGATGATCAAGGCCACCGCCGGGAACATCCACTTTACTAGCTGCACATTCGTAGAGTACATCATACTGCAAGTCCACTGTAGCTGCCGTTACCGGAAGTTTCCGTATACTGAAAATCGAGGTGCAAAGAATATCTAAGCCTCGAATTTCAACGTATCTCTCAGTGGTGGTTGTCATACTCGAAAAATTTCCATAATATACGATAATTCAAACACATTTTACAGATCTACACAATCTACATAAGATCTACAAAAAAAAGCCACGATACGATTTCTTCTCATTTGTACGAACATTAAGGTAAATGTTCCAATGCCCGTACATGTACCTAATTCCGGACACTCTTATTATTTTGAATATTTCTCTAAATATTTTATCTTTCAACGTACACTAAATATAAATATTAAATGTATGTATACCAATATGTATATATTGTACGTTGAAAGTTGAAATATTCTTATTCAAATATAAAAATAATAACAATGTCCGGAGATTGGTACATGTCCGGGCATTGATACATTTACCTTATATTGTGACAATCGTTACAGTTAATTTTCAGTTACAGTTAATTCTACGTGAGTAAGTAACCACCTGCTGATTACGGACTACATGCGGAAACAGTGTAAAACGAGACGGTAGCTCGATACGAAATTCCGTCGACTTTACCGCATGCACAGTTATCAATTTTTTTACATCCGCGTGCCAGAATAGTATTCCAATTACAGAACAATTTAAAATTCAATGTATGTTTGCGAGATTAAAAGATACTTTAATTAAAATAAAACAATGGCTTTTTATTAACAATTAACAATTAATTTTATTAACAATAATGGATAAGAGTTCAATAATTCCGACTAAATACGACACTAAGAGATAATAAGCGATGTAATTAACGGTTGGCAGATACAATGAACTAGCTTAATAAAAAAAACAAATATAATAATAATAATAATATATAAATAAAGAACATAAAATAGATAATTAGATGTATTTATTTTTTATGCAAAATGCAGTCCGCAATTTGTATATTACAAATTAATATAAAAGTCGAACACGCAAAAGTCTAACACAGATCGCGCCTCTTTAAGAAATTTTAAAAAGGCACAGTATATATACCATATATATATATATACATATATATATATATATATATATATATATATTTTTTTTTTTTTTTAATCGCATGCAAAGCAAATTTGTCAAAAGATCAAGTGACGTATATTTCATTAAGTATTATGTATGACGCAGATCTCCATTAGGAAATCGCGTCACTTTTACTTATACACATACAATGGAAGTGAAATAAAATCAAATATGGTCTGTAATCTGAACTAGAGTTGCTTCAAAATATTTGCAAAAACGAGATAGCATTCACGCTCACAAAGACCTTCACGAGACTCTAGATATACAACAACAGGTAGCGCATTCTCTATATTTATCCCGAAAATGTAACGCGAAGTATCCGAATAATTCGACTGCCTATTTCCTTAATATTCCTCTTCTCCTTCTTATTCTCTGATTTACCAATATATCTCACACATATGTGTTTGAAAATTATATGTTCCAACTTTGAACGGAAAAATAGCTGTTATTTCGCAACTAGAAGAAAAATATCTACTCGCGATATCGAGAGAGCTTTGGCTTGTGTCATCGAAATGATGAAAGTACATCTCTCGTCTCATCATTAAAATCGTGATCACACGAATACACAAAAATGTAACAATTGTGAAACATGAGGCTCAAGGCTCCAGCGACGTATTAAGGATCTCAATCGAATTGTTCGAGCTATTACTCACAATAGCGCAATATTGAGCGACCCATGTCCGAGTGTTTCCAGCTGGTTGCGATAATAAACGAATTACTCCTCGAAGATCCGGATTATTCTGTCAAAATCGCCGAGGGACACCCAAACGAAGGCGCCCGGTAAAGTTTGGGGGCGAACTCGGGGCGACGTATGTCAAAATTAATCGGCAGATTGATTGCGTGAACGGTCGCGGCTGGAGGTATACTACTACTACGGCTCGGTGAATTTTCACCACGTGGTAATGCCGAGAAGACCAGTCCGACTGGAACCGCTCGCCGGTTACGCAGGCGCGGCCACGTAAAGTGGCATTCATACCGTGATCGAGATCTTCGATAAATTTACAGAGAACCGCGGCGCGAAAGTGGCGCGCGAGCGGACTTTCTATTCTAATTGCCTCGCGAGCCGAAAGCAAAATATCGCAATATCGGTCGATTTTTCGTCGCTGGAGCTCACCGTTATCGCGCGACAGCGAATTATTCAAAGATGTCAAACGTCGGTGCACTTCTGGGTCGCCTAGAACAGTTATCACGCTCGAAGGAGTGGTCTAACATATTCGTATCGCACACTTATCGGCTTACACGCGCAACAAAATGTACTCACAACGTATGTAATCACAACGTTATAACGAAGTACACCGTTGCGATAAGTTAAATAAATATTCCCGGCATGCTGCCGATAAGAAATTTTTATAAGGGACTCACAAACGAATACGACGAATAACTGGACAGTAGTGGACAACGTATTTATCTTGACAAAGCAATGCTAAGAGCTCGAGCAGCTTCTTGATTTTCTTGATTTGAATAAGAAGATTAGCTAAGATGAAGTTATGGTGTAATTCGATCCGGTTATGTTACGATATGGAGAATAGAAGGTGAATAGGAGAGAAAATAAGAAAATAAAAAATTAAATTGAAAACCAGTGGGCCAATCCATTCAGAGAAACAAAAAAGTGTTTTTCTCTTTGTTATTTATCTTTTGTCCTTAAGTTTACTCTTAAGATTTGTAAGAAACTGTTTCTATTATAATTGCAAACCATTATCTTATCGATATTTTGTTATGCCTTTGGTTACACTTTCTGTCCACACAGAGAAAAATGTCATTTTACTTTCAGAAAAGCGAGTACTCAATTTACTTTCCTTCTCTTAAGTAATAGTTATTTTCAACAAAGAATATTTTCTTCATAATAGTCTTAAAACTCATCAGAAATTTTAGAAAAGCTCATTATCTCAAAAGCTCATGTACTCAAAAGAAGAATTTATTCTCTTTACAACAATATTATGATAAAAATATATGACTCTAACCATACATACACACAAGAAAAAGTTGACTCGGCTTTCTGTAAACTGAATTTTTGTCTTAATTTAATATTTTTGATGGAAACGTTAAACTTACTAAAATTCAGAATATATTTTAAACAAATTTGATGCTTACAATGAGCTTATAACAGATTTACGGATATATAAACTTATGAAGTGCTTGAAACAAGTATCATTTTCCTTAGTATGTATTTTTCTGTGTACAGAAGAAAGAATGAAAAAAATTGTTTAGATATACATTCAAGAGTAACCATAGTGCAGCAAATTCCAAGTTTTCTTTTGCAATTTTGAGAACTAACATTGAAAATGAGCCTTAACATCTGTAGATATCCGTATCAAAGTCATTTTTACAATATTGTATCTATGTGAGGCAGATGAGGTAATAGGTATTACACTAAAGCTCAGAAACGTTAGAAGGAAAAGCAAAACGAGGAAATCACATATTTTTGAGTATATTTAATTTGATCCTTTAATAATACTTTGACTATTGTCAGCATTTGGCAAATGAGATACAATTAAGTAATATACTTTTCAATGCAGAGTGTGATTAACAACAAAAATAACAATTATTTTACATTAAACAGCTTTTCAAATTAAAAAAAAACAAAGCTATCTTGAGACTTTTATATGATAACCTATTTCACCATTCAGTTTATTGTAACCAGAAACAAAATATATACATGGTCGAAATTCTTGTGAACCATGTTGCAATAAAAGAACATGTCCATGAAATGATTAAACACATCATTAAAATAATCTGAAAACTTTTCCTTTGCTGCAATACTTGATGAATAAATAGCTACAAAATTAGCATAAAAAATCACAGAGTCAAAACAGTTGTACCATTAATTCAACAGCTAATTTAATTATTTGACTATTTGTAGATTGTTAGTGCAAAGAGGTTTCTCATTTATCTCACCAATTTGCTAAATTGATCATGAATATAATTTGATGGACATACAATTTGATATCTTTCAATATATTTTGCAAAAATAAGCGTGCATTTTCTCGTTTCTCAAATTCAGTTTGCTTTTAACTGTTACACTTTTACTTGTTTAGAAAACAAAAAAGTGGCCAAGAGATATCAAAAAGCACATTGCGCCATGTGCCTTTTCGTGTACAGGTTATTACATTTATAATTACACAACTCGCATTCCACATTTATGATACTCTGCAGAGAAGGATATAACAGACGTAAAGACAAGATTGAAGGGTTTCTTTCTTCCATTGTGATTATCGAACCTTCTACTTGCTAGAACTAGTCTATTATTAGTCGAGTGTACGTGCGAAATTTGACTCGAGCGCGATTTGAGCTCCGAGACTAAGAGAAACGCAGTGATAAGCCGTAGGCAGCAATACATGCAACACGTGACATCACATAGCGATGCGTGACGATTCAACAATTACGAGAAGCAGCCGGGAAACAAACGTAATTGAAGCGTAAACGGATGAATGGCTCCACATGTACATTGAGCATGGAGAGGGCACCTCGGCGCTACAATTGGTTAGAGCTAACGTCTGAGTAATGTAGCTTGTACGAGAGTAATTATTCCCAAAGTACACACCGTTTATTGATCCTCGTGGAGCCCCGACTACGTACTCGTATCTGCCGGTCGTTAAAAGTATCTCACTTATGTACTTTATCGTGTTTCTATCTGTGAACGAGGGATAGTTAACAAAGGCGGCCGCCGCGTCCGAGAAGCGCGAAGCGGCCGGATTGTTGGACTCACCGATGTTGTTAACAATTCAGCAGGTTACAATCGATTCACAATCGATCGTTTAACTCGACTAAATATTACGGAGAGGATTCCCGTTGTACCGAATGAACAACTTGCTGTGGAATTTCAAACTCTATTGCCACGTGACGTCGATGTTTTCCCTCGTATGTAACGATGCAATATGGCAACTCGAATCTCTTGGCCGCAGCGTGTTTACCTTCGAACCTGACGATGTAGAGTGACAATAGAACGAATGAACGTGACTAGATGTTCAGACAGCGCCTAGATGGCGCCACGTCAGCTTCTCCGTCAAGGCTGCGTTCCAAAATTCACTGCCAGTGCTGAAATTCTATAGTATAGGGTTGCATCCCAAAATGTCCTTTCCGAGGAAAATTTTACCGTTAAATCTATAGTATATGTAACGTGAACTATAAATTTAAGAGTAAAATTTTGCTCGAAAAAGATGTTATGGAATGCAACCTAGGAAGGAGCCTTTGCACGTAGAAAAATTGTAACCGTAAGGTCGTAAGAAAACTGACTAATCAGAGTTGATTATTCTCCTTACGTTCGAGGAATAATCGACTGTGATTGGTCAGTTTTCTTACGACCTTACAGTTACGGTTAAAATTTTTCTAACATGAACTATAGATTTTTTGGCAATGAATTTTGGGACACAACCCAAAAGACGTCGCAATCTTCAATTAGGCTTATATCCAATGCCACATTCTACTTCGTAGATAAAGGAAATGGACCAAAGTCCTCCTCCTGCTCTGTTAAATTGACAAAAATTGCTTCAGAATTATTGTTTCATTTTTCTGCTCTTTTCATTTAATCTTTAGGCAATATTTGTAATTCAATCTTGTATTTAAGATTTTCTCAAAATCATCTTTAGATAATACAACAGCTAATAGAATAACACATTCTCAAATAAACTTCAGATAATTTTAAATATAAAATTGGATTATGTAAATACAGCTCTATTATGTACTGTTATCGTTAGAATGAGAACATTCCAATTCTAATTACCAAATTATATTTTTATCATTTACTTTGATGCCAATGAAATAATCCGTATAGAACCTAAATATCTGAAACTTTAGCGCAACACCGGTAGATGGCGCCAGGCAGTCCGTAAAATCGGTTAATTAAAGGTAATAACATTTTTAAGTGAGTTTCGTGACACATCCCGTATATAATAGGAAAACGTATAATCCAAAAGAGATACGTTTTCTTATTGGATATAGAATACGTTGTAGAACTCATCGAAGAAAAGTATTACACTTAATCATCCGAGTGTATGGCTCGAAGTGCAGTGCCAAACAACCCTACTGAAAAATTTCTATTGAGATCACAATTGAATTCCCAATTGAATTCTCAATTAAATTCTCAATTGAATTCTCAGTTGAGGTTTCCGCAAAATTTCGCATGTAAGATCTCAATTGAGATATTTGTATCTGATGGAAATAATTCATTGAAAATATAATGAACTTTTGCTGAAATATGTTTGAAAAGCATTCACAATTTTGACCCAATTTCATTAAAATTTCATTATAATTTCATTAATATTTCGATAATATTTTATTAAGAGAGTAGAAAAATTCAGTGAAAAATTATTATTAATTAAAATATTTAGAAAAGTATAATGAAGTATTATTTTGTCAAAATAAAAAAAAAACTGGCATTTTATATTTTGTGTCGTTTCATTTATTCGTGAGATTCGCGTGGGATTCGATCTCGTGTCACACGGTCACCATCTTTAGATGACTATGCGCTGTTCAAATGCCTAACCTCAACGATCGTACTGGAACTAATAATGCCAATGCGCTGTAACGATATCGTGGTAGATTATATTTACAATATACTTTTACAACGTTCAAAAATGTAATGACATATTTGTCGGTAAATGTTTCAAAGGACGTAACAACAATCACAATGCGATTAATATTGATACAATATTGTATAACTAATCAAACTTTGACATACAATGTGCTCGCAAAAGAGAGAGAATATTCCTTCTTTCTCTCTCTTTTGCAAGCATATTGTGTTTAAATTTAATTAGTTATACAATATTGTATCAATATTAATCGCATTGTGATTGTTGTTACGTCCTTTGAAACATTTACCGACAAATATGTCATTACATTTTTGAACGTTGTAAAAGTATATTGTAAATATAATCTACCACGATATCGTTACAGCGCATTGGCATTATTAGTTCCAGTACGATCGTTTACATGCGAAATTTTGCGGAAACCTCAACTGAGAATTCAATTGAGAATTTAATTGAGAATTCAATTGGGAATTCAATTGTGATCTCAATAGAAATTTTTCAGTAGGGAAGTCCTGCTACGAGTCGTCACTATGCCTATCGATGAATCGAAGTCATGGTACGATTCAAAAGGCGAGTTTAACTAGACAGTGTATTGGCGTTGGGGCGGAATTCCAAGGGAAATCTGGAGCTAAAAATGAAGTTCAAATTAAGGGGATGCCGGACATGAAAAAAAACATTGACTTTTTTCTGCAAAGTTTACGTCTAGTTGTTTGCACGAAATTACAAGCGCTTTTACACAACAAAAGTATACGCAAAAATAAATGGGAGCATTGCTCAATATATGACGAAAACGAAAAAAATTTATATAAATTTAAATTTTGAGCTGTCAGTTAGTGCAACATTTGCTTAATACAAACATTCTGCAAGTTATACATACTAAAACTGTGAATGCTCCAATCAGGAAAAGTTCAAAGATCATTACTACACTTTCAAAATTTAGTTTTGATGCCAAAAAAGATACGAAAAGTTTGCAGAAAAGTTTATGAGAACATGCGGTTAAGTATTTCGACAATTATGATAAAGTAGAGCAAAAAATTAGTTCACGGATATTTTTCGAGATGACACCATAATTTTATCGTACATTTCACAACGTCGGAATATTCAGATTATTTATATATATATATATATATATATATATATATATATATATATATATATA